CACCCTCATGGGCCCCTCGTGGCTCCCCTGACCAACTTCTTTCACATATATATATATATGTCCATATACCCTAAAAACATCAGGGAACACAATAGATCGGGAGTTCCGCCGCCAGAAGACTCCGTAGCCATCGAAAACCAATCTAGACCCATTCCGGCACCCCGCCGGAGGGGGAAATCCCTCTCCGGTGGCCATCTTCATCACCCCGGCGCTCTCCATGACGAGGAGGGAGTAGTTCACCCTTGGGGCTGGGGGTATGTACCAGTAGCTATGTGTTTGATCTCTCTTTCTCGTGTTCTTGAGTTGGCACGATCTTGATGTATCGCGAGCTTTGCTATTATAGTTGGATCTTATGATGTTTCTCCCCCTCTACTCTCTTGTGATGAATTGAGTTTTCTCTTTGAAGTTATCTTATCAGATTGAGTCTTTAAGGATTTGAGAACACTTGATGTATGTCTTGCATGTGCTTATCTGTGGTGACAATGAGATATCACGTGATCCACTTGATGTATGTTTGGTGATCAACTTGTGAGTTCCGTGACCTCGTGAACTTATGCATAGGGGTTGGCACACGTTTTCGTCTTGACTCTCCGGTAGAAACTTTGGGGCACTCTTTGAAGTTCTTTGTGTTGGTTGAATAGATGAATCTGAGATTGTGTGATGCATATCGTATAATCATACCCACGGATACTTGAGGTGACATTGGAGTATCTAGGTGACATTAGGGTTTTGGTTGATTTGTGTCTTAAGGTGTTATTCTAGTATGAACTCTATGATGGATTGAACGGAAAGAATAGCTTCATGTTATTTTACTACAGACTCTTGAATAGACCGATCAGAAATGATAACTTTGAGGTGGTTTCGTACCCTACCATAATCTCTTCGTTTGTTCTCCGCTATTAGTGACTTTGGAGTGACTCTTTGTTGCATGTTGAGGGATAGTTATATGATCTAATTATGTTATTATTGTTGAGAGGACTTGCACTAGTGAAAGTATGAACCCTAGGCCTTGTTTCAACACATTGCAATACCGTTTATGCTCAATTTTATCATTAGTTACCTTGCTGTTTTTATATTTTCAGATTACAAATATTCATATCTATCATCCATATTGCAATTGTATCACCATCTCTTCGCCGAACTAGTGCACCTATACAATTTACCATTGTATTAGGTGTGTTGGGGACACAAGAGACTCTTTGTTATTTGGTTGCAGGGTTATTTGAGAGAGACCATCTTCATCCTATGCCTCCCATGGATTGATAAACCTTAGGTCATCCACTTGAGGGAAATTTGCTACTGTCCTACAAACCTCTGCACTTGGAGGCCCAACAACGTTTACAAGAAGAAGGTTGTGTAGTAGACATTAGTGATGAAGATGGAGCATAGACAGACTATATGATTTTGTAGGGATAACTTTCTTTGGCCATGTTATTTTGAGAAGACATGATTGCTTTATTAGTATGCTTGAAGTATTATTGTTTTTATGTCAATATTAAACTTTTGCTTTGAATCTTATGGATCTGAATATTCATGCCACAATAAAGAAAATTACATGGATAAATATGTTAGGGAGCATTCCACATAAAAAATTCTATTTTTATGATTTACCTACTCGAGGACGAGCAGGAATTAAGCTTGGGGATGCTTGATACGTCTCCAACGTATCTATAATTTTTTATTGTTCCATGCTATTATATTATCCGCTTTGGATGTTTTATATGCATTAATATGCTATTTTACATTATTTTTCGACTATTAACCTAGAGCCCAATGTCAGTTTCTATTTTTTCCTTGTTTTGAGTTTTACAGAAAAGGAATATCAAACGGAGTCCAAATGGAATAAAACTTTCGCGATGAATTTTCTTGGACTAGAAGACATACACGAAACTTGAAGAGGGGGTAAAAAGATGGCCGAGGAGGCCACAAGCCACTTAGGCGTGCCCCAGGAGGGCGCCCTGAGGGCTCTTGTGGGCCCCTCGGGTGTCCTCTAACCCTAATCTTTGCTCCACAAATACCCAAATATTCCCAAACCATCAGAGGCATCAACCAAAATACTATTCCGCCAATGCAAGGCTCTGTTCCCGTGCGATCCCATCTTGGGGCCTTTTCCGGCATCCTGTCGGAGGGGGATTCGATCACGGAGGGCACCTACATCAACATTGCTGCCCTTCCGATGAAGCATGAGTAGTTTACCACAGATGGCTTCTTCTCTCTCTATGATCTTCAATACCATGTTCTTCTCGATGTTCTTGGAGTTCTATCCGATGTAATATTCTTTTGCAGAGTGTTTGTCGAGATCCGATGAATTGTGGATTTATGATCAGATTATCTATGAATATTATTTGAGTCATTTCTGAACTATTTTATGCATGATCAAATATCTTTGTATTTCTCTTCGTATTATCGGTTTGGTTTGGCCAACTAGATTGATTTTTCTTGCAATGGGAGAGGTGCTTAGTTTTGGGTTCAATATTCTGGTGTCCTCATTTAGTGACATAGTAGGGGTAGCGGGGCACGTATTGTATTGTTGCCATCAAGGGTAAAAAGATGGGGTTTTCATCACATTGCTTGAGTTTATCCCTCTACATCATGTCATCTTACTTAAGGTGTTACTCTATTCTTATGAACTTAATACTCTAGATGCATGTTGGATAGCGATCGATGTGTGGAGTAATAGTGGTGGATGCAGAACCGTTTCGGTCTACTTGACACGAACGTGATGCCTATATTCATGATCATTGCCTTCAATATCGTCATAACTTTGCGCTTTTCTATCAATTGCTCGACAGTAATTTGTTTACCCACCATATGTTTTCTTTCAAGAGAGAAGCCTCTAGTGAAACCTATGGCCTTTGGGTCTATTTTCCATCATATATATTCAGATCTATAAACCAAAAACCTCCAAAATACTTTGCTGTAATTTATTTAGATTTATTTTAGTTTGCCTTTTTATTTATCTTTTATACCTATCTCTGTTAGATCTCACTCTTGTTCGAGACCGTGAAGGGATTGACAACCCCCTTTTCGCGTTGAGTGCAAGTGTTTGTTAGTTTGTGCAGGTGCATAGATTGGAGACTTGTTTGTGCCTCCTAATGGATTGATACCTTGGTTCTTAACCGAGCGAAATACTTATCTCTACTTTGCTGCATCACCCATTTCTTTTCAAGAGAAAAACCAACGCAAGCTCAAGAAGAAGCACTTCCTAGCAAATGGACCAACTAGGATCAAGAACATGTTTCTCCCCTCTTAGAAGCATGTAGACCTCTCTCCTCCTATAAAATGCATATCTCTCCCTTTAGGGTATCCCTTTTGTTATAGGAAGAGATTTGTAAGTAAGCTTTCATGTGCATCTCTCTCCCCCTTTGACACCAATTTCCATGAAGAGTCTAGCTCCAAGTTTATTGGTCAAATATGTGTGGTACTCGAGAGGCACAACTAGCCATGACTTAGCTTTAGATGTAGGTAGAGGGAAATAATCATTGAGTGGAGCTGGAAAAGAAATAAATGGGGTTTGACAGAAAGTTCTTTCTGTAGTGAAATCGGTGTCTCCTATTTATATCTATCGGTGAATCCAAGATGGAGTTATCACATAAGGATCACATCGATGCCCCGAGTATGTCCTCTTCGGTTGTACCGATGAACAAATGTGCAATGTTGATTGTATCTTGGTGGAACCAATGTGGTTTAGGTCGCAGAGACCGAGTTCAAGGCAGAGAGAAAGTTTTGTCAACTCGCTCACTTGGCAATAAGCTCTCACAAAGATTTGCAATGAATTGACTAGAAGCAAAGAATCTAACTAGAAAAAAAGAGAGAAGGACATCTAGATGAAGTTTTTTTTTGAAAGAGGAAACACTCTAGCAAGAAGAAGAAAAACATGCATATTCTCCATGCAACAACTTCTTCGTCCATCCACCCCTAAACGAGCTTGCAAAATTCCTTTGTGAAAACAATGCAGAAAGACTCGCAGAAAAGCACGGGGAGGCACACAAAGAATAGGTGATAGGAAGTCAATTCATACATTATACAAGTGCTTCTGAATACAAGCGTGGTTGGGTTCCAACGAGAATGACATGACGATGAGCAAATGTGACAAAATCATGATGATGACTAGCACGAAAGAGTGGAGCAAGACCCAGACAATGTGAATGCAAATTTGCCCCCAAGAGGAAGCGTGAGCGAAACAAAAAAACCTTCGAAAAGATGTGAATCTTGAATCCGTGAAAACTGTTTACCAACCAACCATCTTCCGTCCCTCGAGATATACATGCATCATTTTTCTTTTTGAAATCTGTGGCTATGATTGTGTCACATCCAAAGTATATTTATCGGTTGAACCACTATGAATCATGCCATGGCATCTGCTCATCACAGAGTATATGACAGACATTAGTTCTTTATAATACCGCAGTGTAAATTCATGATTTTTTAAACTTTTTCATGAGTTAAAGATGAAACCAAACATAGCTCAAAAGGGAATTTCTGGAAAGGAAAACTCACAAGAAATGTGTTACTAGTCCATGGGTTATCCACAGCCAACCTCTCCGATAACGGTGGGTGACCTATTTTTCCTTTCATTTATTCATTATTTTAGCGCCGGCGAAGTAAATATTACAGTGACCGACGGACGGCGACGCGAGTGACGGACGGAGACGGATCCCTGTGCGTGCTGCGTGCGTGTGGGTGTGCTGCCCGCAAGACGGGATCTTTCCTTTCCTGATTCCAACACATTCTTGTTCCATCCAATGATGATGCGCTAGTCGCTAATCCGCACGAATTATCCGCAAGAATATCAGGGCTGGGGTTTCTCGGCGTTGGCGACGGGCGGAGCCACAGAAATGGGGGCCGAGAACAGCGGCTAATTTTAGCCAGCAGCGCGGAGGAAAAAGCCTGAGGCAGCCGCTCGCCCGCCTGCCTCCAAGAAACCGCGGCGATCTGTCGCCTATCCAATCGCCGCCGAACTCGAATTCGATTTGGTTTTTCCTGGGCGGTGGGAGAGGATGCAGTGGGTGGGCCTGAGCTCGCCGCCGGCGGCGCCGACGGCGGCGCCGACGGCTGTCTGGATGCGGCGGCGTCCAAGAACAACGAGATGGCCGCAGAGGAGCTCGTCCGCCGCACGGAGGGCGGTCGTGGCGGCCGCGTCCTCGTCCCCACCGTCATCCGATGCCAACTCGAGCTCCAACTCGCCGGGCAGTGACGAGGAGGCGGAGGAGGCCGCGGGGAAGGCGGAGGGTGACAAGACGGCGGCGGCCTTCTTGTTGAGGAGCCAGAAGTACGCTATGCTCAAGCAGCAGCTCGCCGTAGCCGCCCAACTCGAGGTACAGCCCGCAGAATGCGCAAATTGCTACTTACCAACCAATGCAAATCTGTGCTGCTCGGCGACTGTAAGTTGCAATTTGTTGCAGGATTACAAGGAGGCGGCGAGGCTGAGGGACTCGTTGAGGTTGTTCGAGGAAGAAGAGCCCGTCCTCCGCCTCCGCCGCTCGCTGAAGAAGGCGGTCGAGGAGGAGAGGTTTGCGGTACTGCACTCATCCATTGCCATTGTTCCTGCTGCCAATTTTGCAGCATCTAGCTTCTAGTTGCTACATTTCCGTACAAGAACACAGGAATGTAGAATTCCCCTTTAGGCATTGGCAAAGCTGGATCTTACCGCCCAGCTACGGTAAGAATAGCTGATTAAACCAAAATGACGCAGCGGCTTAGTATAGAAGTACGATGCTGCATAGCTTCTATCTCCCATTCCTGTGCTGACCACTGATTCAACAATTTAACTGGATGCCTTAGTGTTTTTCTCCCTCATGTTTGAAGAGTCTATTGCAATGAAAGGAAGTCTTAAGGCAGACATTTTAACAAGCATGCGGCCATACTCTATCTCCTCTGTTCCACTCATGGTTGGAAATTGTGCCTTTTCTGTTATCATTGTTTGAACTGTCAATGTGATCAATACTTAGTGCTCAATTTGTACCACTTCACTCTTATAGGCTTAGAGCTATTTCGTCGTCTTACTGGTCTCAAACAAACATGTTTTGTTCTCCTCTTAGCATTCTATGGTGTTCATAAATTTTTTCTGCACTTGTACTTTTCAGGATGCTGCCAAGTACAGAGATGAACTGATGATTTTGGCTCCGCACTCCCTCCTCAAATGTTCTAGTGATGCTACAACTCTGGTATTTCTTCTGGTTGAATAATTCTCTGAAGCTGCAACTTTGTTATCTTTTCTAAAACTGAATTCTGACATCTCCCTTTCACAACACATAATCTGCTGAGTTTTCTAGGTAATCATTCGGCTGTTTGAACTTCAGCATTAAGGTTTACTATAATTTTGAAATTTTCTATGACATCATTGGAGCGTTGAAAAGACACCAGCTAGTTATGTGAGCAAGAATTCACTAGGAAACTTAGTAACTACTATGAAAAGCGAAAGAAACATAAGAGGCCAACAGGGTCAGGGTCTAGGAATTTTTTTGTACCTCACTTGGTCAAAACTGCACGCTTTGTGCACGACTAGGTCAATCCACATGTTATGGCACTCTTTTCTTTTTAACATAATCTCAACCTTTACTGGTGTTGGGTCTACCGCTCAACTTTTTGTACATGTTAGCATGCATGTTGAATTTACATGTGCCGTGGTTGATGTGCAATGCACCACTTCCCAACTCTGTTAATTCTTTGATTTAATTACATTTTATTGGAGGGAACTATTTACATGAAAGATGTGGTTGTGCGATGCTATTTCACATGTATAACTTGGGATGGCTGTAAGGATATGTTTTTTGGAAGTTCCGCTGTTAAGGAAAAGCTGAACCAACCTAGGAATTGATCAGAACTACTTATTTTCTCATAATCTTCGTCATAGTACTACATTTTAATGATATATAGATAAAAAATTCTTTACACCGTTGACCAATTTCAACTTGATTTCCTAATATTGTTGAGAAATTTGGATGTTACAGGGGATAAGGGTTCAAGTCAGGAGTGTCTATATTGAAAGCCGGAGCCAACCCTTAAAGGGGAAGTTCTTTTTTGCCTACAGAATCAGAATTACAAATAATTCTCAGCGTGCTGTACAGCTTCTCAGACGACACTGGATTGTCACTGATGCGAATGGAAGGACAGAGAATGTTTGGTTAGTCTTTGTGATATAATCACCACATTGTAATTATCTTAATCAAAACACTAATAAGACTTGTTCAATTCTTGTCAGGGGTGTTGGTGTAGTGGGAGAGCAACCTGTGATATTCCCAAAGACGGGTTTTGAGTACTCATCCGCATGCCCACTAAACACTCCAAATGGGAGAATGGTAAGATGATACAGGTTTCTTTTCTTGCACAATTTCTTCACAACCCATGCCTCCATGTTTTTAAAGAAGACAGTACTGGTCCACTTGTACCCACACAAGAGATTCTTATGATTCTTTGATCTCTGGAACTCATACCGAAGACTTGGCACCTTATCCTCGACTCAGTTGTTTTGAGCTGTTTGTTGCATTTGGATGTTTACGCCTTGCGGCATATCTGAAAAGTTAAGCTTGACCTGAATAAATGTTCTGAATTGCAGGAAGGTGATTTTGAGATGAAGCACATTGACAAGGTTGGATCCTCGACATTCAATATCGCTATCGCACCATTCTCTCTGTCAATCCTCGGGGACGACAACGACGCTCCCCTCTGAAGGTGATTGAGTAGCAGGGCGAGTTTGAAGAAAACGGCAATGCCAGTAAGAGTTTGCACAAATACACAAACACTTGTTAGCGAAGTATTTAGAGCACGGAACTTAGTCCAGACTGATGTTATATCTACTATGAAAAAAAGAGTGAAATGTGAATGGTGGAGGTATTGGAATGTATGGAAATTAACACGGATCTTGTAAATTTGTGGGCTATGAGCGCTTACTGTATCAATTCCACTTTTGAATGTACAGCATATAGAAAGCTTTGTTGATTTGCGTGTTTAGTGGAGTATGGCGTTGCAGAGGCCGGGCTCCATGGAGCCCGTTTTGCGAAATAATAATAAATGGACAATTTGTGTGTATTCAAGTAGGTACAAACACATATGTATGTTCTTCAAGTAGGTACAGGTTTCATCAGGTAATTCGATTATTCGCATGCTACAAAAAAAAGATAAATATCTAGCCCAAAAACAACAAACAAAAAGCCCATTTTAATCTGTGTGTATTTATCTTTTTTGTATACATTACATATGAACATATATGTTCATCAAATTTTATATGTGTATATTACAAATTTTACACACAGAGACACACACACATCTATGTATATACTTTTTTCTCAATATGTGGAAATAGTATTTTCGCTAAAAAAATAAAGAGCACTATGGAGCTCAGCCTCTGTATGCACTTTTCGGTGTTTAGTGCCTCTTTGATCGGAGGATCGTTATCGTTAGGAATTAGTGGTACGTAGTTGTTTGATTTGTATAATGTTATATTAATCTGGTCACACTAAAATATACAAGAAAACTTCGAATGTAGAAGTATATATCTGGTGATCTACCTACATCGTGAAATATCACTGCACATGATAGAGCAGTAAAAAAAACAAGAAAAAAGTAATAATTTATATGCACTCACTGAAAGTGGAATAAGCGGATGGATATAATAATTCCTAATGGTAATGCTAACTGGCGAACGTTTGCTGGAAAGAAACTCCCCACAAACGCCTTCACAGCCATTTGATCTAGATATACGGTGGTAGTTTTTAGAAAAACATTCCCTTCTCTACGAGGAATTGTCATGTTAGTCTAAAATTGGCTACAACCCCTATAACTAAAATTGCCATGAAAAACGTTCGCAAATACCATCCTCCTCAACGAGCGTTCGCCAGCTAACAGGGTCCATTCCTAAAGTATTTAATATGTCATATGCATACATGTCATATGTGGTTTGGTCATCACATCAATAAAAATTTGTTACCCCCTTGGCCCCTAAAGAGGCGGCATATCAATTGAGTCTACTAGATTACCCGTTGCGCCAAATGGCCCAAGGTCCTAGTTCAAACCCAGAGTTGTTTGCTAAAAAGTGCTTATCATCGTGGTAATATTTTGTATCCTTTGTAATGCTTAAAAATGAGGAGAAGGATTATTTGAAAATATGTAGCATCATTTTCAATAATCTGTACCATTTTCTTCTATTTTTATAAATATTTATGCTAATATGGGAAAAAAAGGCATACAGTGGTTTATTATATATTCATCAGGGTGCCATGCAATGTGGACCTAATTTGTGCCTCTTTGCCTAGATCTAATCTAACCCATTGCACCAAATAACATGGATTCAAGCCTCTTCCGACAGTAGGTCCACTGTGTCTTAGGGGTAGGGGTAAATACATCACAGTAGCATGGGTTCAACAAAAGTGTACTTCCGTGAAAACAAAATACTTCTTTTTTGCAGGTGGGTGAGAGCAAAAGACGGTGGCAAGTTTCTTCAGTGACTTTATAAGGCCCTTCTAGTAGCGTATGTTGGTCTGCAACTTCACTGGTCATTGGTGTGGTTTTTATTGCCGTTGCATCAAACAATCCTCCTCCTTTCCGTTGATAAAAAAAAATCACAACTCACAACCTTGGAGCGCATGGGCAGAAGCCTATAGTTTTTTTTGCGAATAAATTCTTTCATTACTCAGAGTTTAAATGTTACAATCTCGTCCTACAAGTTCCATGACCTCATCTAGTCCAGAGCCTAGCTAAACCATAGTCCGACGGCACACCTTACCAAAATTAGCCAAGGCATGACTAACATTATTACAATTTCGACGAGCATGAGCAACGCAAGAACTCCTTTCTTACTACTGATTATCCCTCTAACGATGAAAGCATACTTAGACTTGTTCCTATGTCCTTCTTTGATCATCCTGGGTTATAGTACCACATATAAGAAATCATCAATTTGCAATATCCACTTACATATTGGCAGCATGTGCCAAGTAGCACATTGAGGTGAAGGTAACAGATAAGCAAAATACACATGCATGCTTATGAAGTTATGAGAGCATATGGATTTAGGAGGCACACAAATTCTAGTCTATGAACCTACATGCAAATAAATATCATATTAGTATGCAACATTTCAGGCAGCAGAGCATGCAACATAGGAAATTCTAAACCATATGACAACAATTGGTCGTGCAACTTGCTCTCACTGTGAAAAAACATTAAAATGTAGGAGTATATCTTTTGAGTACCAAGAAATCAAGGCAAAAGTCTCACAATAGGTAACAATTGACATGCAACAATGGCAAACACACTACTTCTTTTGCTTTTTTGATACCAAACGCATGTATTCTGGATGAAATTAGTGCAGCGATACTAATACAATAAGAACGATGACATGATGTAGACAAGATCTATTCATGTAGGAATAGACCCCATCTTTTTATCCTTAATGGCAACGATACATGCATGTCACTTCTCCTTCTGTCACTGAGATTGAGCACCGCAAGATCGTACCTATCACAAAGCACCTCTTCCCATTGCAAGAAAAATCAATCTAGTTGGCCAAACCAAACCAAAGTTTTGGAGAAGAAATACGAGACTATAATAATCATGTATATAAGAGATCAAAGAACACTCAAATAATATTCATAGATAGATCTGATCATAAACTCACAATTCATCAGATCCCAACAAACGCACCGCAAAAATTCATTACATCAAATAGATCTACAAGAACATCGAGGAGAACATTGTATTGAGAATCAAAAAGAGAAAAGAAGCCATCTAGCTACTACCTACGGACCCGTAGGTGTGTGATAAACTACTCACGCATCATCGGAGGAGCACCAATGAGGATGATGAACTCCTCCGCGATCGTGTTCCCCTCCGGCAAAGTGCCGGAATAGGGCTCTATATTAGATCTCGTGGTTCTAGAACTTGCGGCGACTAGAATTGTTTTTCGTCGACTCCCTAGGGTTTCTGGAATATTTGGGTATTTATAGAGCTAAGAGGCGGTGGAGAGGGGGCATGTGGGCCCCACTAGCCACTAGGGTGCGCTAGGGGCCTCTAGCGCACCCTGGTGCCTTGTGGGCCCCATGGGCCTCCCCTTTGGTACTTCCTTGGTTCCCAAGTTGTTTTCTGGGCAGAAAAAAATCTCCAAAAAGTTTCGTGGCATTTAGACTTCGTTTGGTACTGATATTCTACGAAGTAAAAAACAAGCAAAACACAGCAACTGGCACTGGGCACTATGTCAATAGGTTAGTCCCAAAAAATGATATAAAGTTGCTATAAAATGAATATAAAACATCCAAGAATGATAATATAACAACATGGAATAATAAAAAATTATAGATACGTTGGAGACGTATCACGTGCCTACGGGACCCCCGTGCGCACGGGCCCAACTTATCCCGTGCGCACGGGCCTCCCAGGTTTCGGCTGAGGGCACCCTTTCTTGCCTCTCAAGTTGTCCCCTTTCCCCCTCAACCTATATATTTCGTACCTAGGCTATTAGTTAGGGTTAGCAAAGTATATGAGAGATATTTAGAGAGCTTTGCTCCTTCTACCCCTCCTCTTGGAGATCAAGACCTCTTTGGAGAGGATCCCAAGTGGATTTCAGGACCTCCTCTTAGGAGAAGACTATCATCAAGACCTCACCTCCTTAGGAGTGGGAAGAACTTTACCTAGGGCTTGTTTCCTTGGATTGTGCTTATATTCTTGTGGATCTATGTGTTTGCTATTCTAATGGATGTGTAATTGGGTTTTGTTGGAGTGAATTCCTCTGTGTGTTCTTGGTGTTCATCCCTTTTCCCCTCCAAGTGCGAAAAGATCCCTCTTAGGGTTACACCCTACAACAGTAGTACTTTGCTTCGAGGGCTAATAGACTTTCGCAATAAGTATATGAGTTCTTTATGACTAATGTGAGTCCATGGATTATACACACTCTTGCATTTCGCAATTTGCTAGCCTCTTCGGTACCGTGCATTGCCCTTTCTCACCTCGAGATGTGGTGCAAACTTCATCGGTGCATCCAAACCCCGTGATATGATACGCTCTATCACACATAAGCCTCCTTATACCTTCCTCAAAACAGCCACCATACCTACCTATTATGGCATTTCCATAGCCATTCTGAGATATATTGCCATGCAACTTCCACTGTTCCGTTTATTATGACACACATTATCATTTTCATATTGCTATGCATGATTATATAGCTGACGTAGTATTTGTGGCTCAGCCACCATTCATCATTTTTATGCTCCCTCTGTAAACTAATATAAGATCATTTATATCACTAAAGTAGTGATCTAAACGCTTTTATATTAGTTTACAGAGGGAGTATATCATTCCACATCCCGGTACACTGCCAGAGGCATTCATATAAAGTCATATTTTGTTCTAGTATCGAGTTGTAATTTTGAGTTGTAAGTAAATAGAAGTGTGATAATCATCATTATTCATTATTAGAGCATTGTCCCAGTGAGGAAAAGGAGAGTCCAAAAAGAGCCCAGAAAAAAGAGGCCAAAAAGAGCTCACCAAAAAAAGAGAAGGGGCAATGTTACTATATTTTTCCATGCTTGTACTTGAAAGTAGCACCATATTTTTCATATAGAGCCTCCTATGTAGTCACTTTCATATACTAGGGGGAATTTTTCATTATAGAACTTGGCTTGTATATTCGGATGATGGGCTTTCTCAAATGCCCGAGGTCTTCTAGAGCAAGCA